AGTACATTTCACCACTGCGTAATCAAATCATATTGTAATATCATAAAAATTTTTATTAGTTACTCAGTAATAATTGATTTCTTGATAACGAAATTAGCCAACTAATGGAATTAATGTTATTTAGCATTAGATAATTAAAACTCAATTACTCAGCAACTTCTTGATACTCTTCCAATAATTAAGAATTTAATTGATTGGTAACTCGTTCACAGTCATTTGATAATTAAAAAATTCACTTAATTTATAAATAACTTCTTGACACTTATCGAAGGTTTTATTTCGCTGCGACTTGATATACCAATGGCTGTCTAAAATTAAAATAATATTGCAGCAAAGCATTGTGTCAGAAAAACAATGATACTAATCAATTTACGACTAATAGTTATTCTCATTTGTAGTGCAAGGAGAATCAGAGAGTGATAAAAATTTAAGAAATATTAAACAGAATGAAAATATAAAAAAAAATATAAATAGAAAATAGTGCAATAAAAATGGGAAGGATAAAGCTGATAAGATTTTCAAATCTTTTCACTTTTAGCATGTCCATATAGAAATTAAGGAGAAAGTAAAATTGAACTGTTTGTTGAAGAGGAAGAGGGCAAACAGAAAGATAAAAAATTCCCACATGTTTGTTAGAGAGGATAGCAGAGATTGTCATCGAAATCCGAATCAATAGAGTTTGAGGAAATGAAAAACTACTAACTGTTAGCAATAATTGAAACTGAAATGAAATCTAATAATCCTTATAGGGAGAAAAATACAATTGGCTTCCTTTGGCTCGGGTTCATATTCAGATTGCTATGTGAGTATTTGTATGTGACTAAATTTTGCACTCCGTGGGTTGTGAAGTGATTCTTTGGGTGATTGGAATTGAAATCACTGAATTATAACTTAATTCTTGAACTGGTGGGATCTGAAAAGCTAAATTTTAAAAAAAGTATTTTTTAAGTGCGTCGTAATGTGTCATTGTTGCAGGTGCAAATTTAGATTTGAATAATTTTAAAGATGAAATAACTAGGGGAAATTCAGTCAGTTAAACTGAAGCAATAGGTGCTTTAATCAGAAGCAAATATTAACTTAAAAAATTTTTAGAAAATTTAAAGTTAAATAACTTAAAATCAAGCTGTGCTTCATTAACTTAATCATTCTTATAATATTCGATATCAGTATTTAATTATTTGATAATATTCAGTTAATAGAATTATGATCTCTTCTGCGACAAGAATATCGCGGGCTACACTTTCTTCTAGACGTGCAACACTTCCGGATGGTCCATCATTACAAGATTTTATTGAAACAGGTGTTATATTTTTTGAACTTCTGTTCTTTTAGCACTTTTCAAATGTCTCTGATTAGGCCCTCATTTTTTTTTCATAAGATTAGGTCCTCATTTTTTTTACTTGTTTATTAAGGATCATTTTTGTTTTCCTTGTTAACATAACATTATATTGGGATTGAGTTTGCAAATGAATTATTATATTGGATTTATAACATTATGTTGATATCTTGGAAGATGAAGTTTGAAAATGAATAGAATTACCATTATTTTTGTATCAAAGATAATACAATATGTTTTGCTTTTTTTTAAAGATAATTTACAGTTATTTTTTTTTCAGGAAATTCGAATGATTCTATAGAAAAGTACGGAATACAGATGAAATTGGAAACTAATACTAAAAGATTACGTTTACCACCATGGCTAAAACGTAGCGTACCTCCCACTGATAACACAAGTTTTATGCTTCTGAAGAAACAAATGAAGAAATTAAAACTTGCAACGGTATGAATAAAATTTTCTACGCTTTTATGTTTTCGTTTTTTAGCTTTTTGAATTTTTTTGTCGTTTCAGTGTGTTGTAAGTTGCAATCGGGTCAATTTTAACGAATCACCGCTTGATAGAATTCGTCTTCATCGAAATGACCCTGCTCTGCTTTTGAAAATGTTCACAAGTCATTTTCAAGCGAGAGCAGGATCATTTCGCTGTGAGATTTGAGCAACTTTTATTATAGGACTCTTCTATTTATAAAATATCTTTGCTCCATGATAGCAGGATAACCAAGTTAAATTTCAAAAATTACAGGTTTGCGAGGAAGCTCGATGCCCTAACATTGAAGAATGTTGGAGTGGCTCAAAGAATGTACCATCAACAGTGACCATTATGTTAATGGGTGACACATGTACTAGAGGATGCAAGTTAGTTACTTTTTTCAAAATTATACATCAGAAATAATTGTGCGTTTGAAAGTGGTGACGCATGTCACGAGCCGTTCAATCATTTCACATAGATACTTCGTCCTGACAGTGATAGTAATGGTATGTTTTAACGATCTCTCAAAATAGATATTTGAAGTTTACAGCAACATGTTATTTGCATTCCATAGTTCTATTGAAATGATTTCGTAGAACTCATAACATATAAGCAGATGCCTATCTTTCCACCAGTTTTAGATTTTGCTCTGTCAAGACTTCACGTAAACCGTCTCCGCTCAATCCCGAAGAGCCAATAAATACAGCTAAAGCTGTTGCGGAGTGGGGAATTAGCTATGTTGTGCTTACATCTGTAGACAGGTTCGTGGTTACTGATTGTGCGTATTTTTATGGTTTCAAGTTTTCGTTACCACTAGGGCATTTTGATTGAAATTCTAATTTTATGAAATTGAATTCCAGAGACGATATTGAAGATGGTGGTGCATCCCATATAGCAGCAACCGTGCAAAACCTAAAACAAGAATGTCCAGAAATACTAATAGAATGTCTTGTACCTGATTTTCGAGGTTCATTGAGCTCCGTCAAGGTGATTGCTTCTTCCGGATTAGATGTTTATGCTCATAATATGGAAACTGTGAGAAGGTTGACACCATGGGTACGAGATCCGAGAGCTACCTATGACCAGTCATTGAAAGTTCTGGAACATGCGAAGAAAGTAAGTTTTCGGGATTAATGACTTTTTTGATTGTTTTTATTGTATTTGGCTTTTCTTTTCTAAAAAGCATTTCCTATGACCATAAGAAATTTTCAGTTTCGTGCAGATATTGTCACAAAAACTTCGTTAATGCTTGGTTTGGGAGAGACAGACGAAGAAGTTTTGACAACATTACATGATTTGCGTAAAGTCGGTAAGAATTGTTTTTTTTTTATTTCAAATTAAGGTTTTTGTTGATGGTGATTGGAGGAAATGAGAACTCACCGAATAAAAAATCATTCTGAAAAGAGCAAAATTTGGTTTCTTAATTCAGACTCCGAATTTGCCCTTTGACATATATTGTCTTTTATAATGAATAATTTCGAGATATTAAGCTTCTTCAAAAATACGGTGTTCATTATAGACGAAGAAGTATTTTAAGCATCAAATTTTTTATGTTCTTCGAGACATAATGAAAATTTTCTCTTCGGTTTCATATTCACAGAAACGAGTAAAGCGGTCAGTAGAGATTTCGCGAAGAAGAGTGAATTATAATAAACCAAGTAATTCCATATATCTTATATTGAAGAAGAATATCTTAACACTGTAAGTATATCAACCTCTTTTTTAACTTCCAGGTGTAGATGCACTTACACTGGGACAATATATGCAACCTACTAAAAGGCATTTATTGGTAAAAGAGTGGATTAGACCAGAAAAATTCGAGAAATGGCGTGAGGTGGGAGATAAAATGGGATTTTTATATACAGCAAGCGGTCCTCTCGTTCGATCATCATATAGAGTATTATATTTATATTTATATTTATATTTTAGTATTCTGAAATTATGAAGTCTCTGAATTATCTATAGTACAAGATTGTGGTATGCTTTAAGATTTTAGAATTTCATCATGATTTAATAGTCACTAGATCACTTCGTGAAAATGTGCTTTATTTTATCTTTTCAGGCCGGCGAATATTTCTTAGAAAAGGTTGTGAAGAATCGCAGACGAGATGTTCAGAAAAATTAGTGATGTGAATTTCATGCTCATAGTTTTAGTTTTATCGTTTATGGGTTATATACTTGCTCATCTTGATAGTAATATAATTTTTATTATATATATATTATCTGCCGCTTATTATTAAAAGGTTTAAGTAAACCTCCAAACAAAATGAGTTAGATTAGCGAATTTGAGTGGGAATCTAAAGAAGTGATTCTATAAAATAGACTGTTGATGAAACATTGCTTATTGTTAAAAGTACTGAAATAGTTTTTCAGGTAAAGAAATCAAGTAGAAATATATATGTTAAGTAATTTAAAGAGGAATTCCTATGAAATCAATATCCTTAGAATCGACATTGGTCAAGTGATTTTAATTCAAAGACAATGAATTTTTCGATTTCTGAGGTGTTTATATGCATATTTTCTCCACTAGATTTATAAGATTTTAATAATTTCAACTTTCTGGATTATAATTCTTACATGCTCTCCAAGCTGTTCCTCTTTCAAAATGATTTTTAGATAACAACAAAGAAATAGCCATTAATATTTCCCAATTTCTCTCGTTATATATATATATATATATATATATAGTTTTGTAGAAATTCAATTTTTATGAGTTATTATGTAAGTTTATACTGCGAAATGGTTTCCATTGAAAATGACGATTGTCTCTGCATTGATTATATTAAGGTATGAAAGCGGATTATAAATGTGCTTCATTATTTGACATATTCCTCTTTCGATTTTTTGTTGCTTCAGTCAAAATATGTAGTTGAAATGAATATCAGTAAGTAAGCCGAACAAAAGAGTCAATAATCCAATCGATTATTAATTGCGGTTAAAACGATGTCGGAAACCCTCTAAGTCTGTCAGTCATTTTTTGGTATGAAAGGTCATTTTCGAGGTTAAAGAGACCAGGATGCTACTGTCTGGGAAAGTGATGTTTAAATTGCTCATTTAATCAGGTTAAAATTTTTTGAAAATAGCTGTTTGAGAGTCGGAGAACTTTTTTTCACATTCATGCAACTTTAATAATATAACAAGACAAATTTAAACAAACAAATTTTTTTCTTTCTTTTCAGATCTCTCAGACGCTATGAGTAGTATGCTAACGGGTCGGGCACGCGTTGTATATGTTGGTGATGAATTCATTCATTTGTCGAAAGGCGGTTTGGATGGTAAAATTGTTGCATTTAAGGATTCATGGCTTGCAAGTAGTTATGATTTGCAAGACTGGGTCACTTTTAAGGCGAAATCGTATGAAGCCGTGAGTTGTTATGCTAAAATTGATATTTTTTCTTTCAATAATAAGTTTCTTTTATCTCCCACAGTTTATAGTTGTCTATGTGGAAAAGAAAAAGACAACTTCAAGAGAAAATAGAAAATTTTTCTTCAAGAGAAAATTGTATAGTTTTGTATGTCTTAGTTCCGTTTAAATTTTTACTTGACTTTTATTTTGTTAACTTTGAATTCACTTCCTTTTGTTTATAGTTCTTATTTCATTTTCATAAAGAATAATTCGTTTCTTGCTAATGCTAACTTATCCTTCTTATCCTTTACCAGCAGGTAACAATAGCACTTCAGCAATATACAACAAGCAAAAATCACATACTATAAATGAAGTCTTGACTAGTCGTTTAACTTCACAATACCGTCTGAATAACCGAAATTATGGCATATGTATTACCTATCTTTTGTTAGTGTATGCACTGAATTTTCTTTTAAATAAAATTAGAATCTTTGAATGTTCTACTGTCCATATAATTGTCATGAAAAAAAGGCTCCATCGAGCATGGTCGTTCTATTGTATTGGCAGCAGTATTATTTTCGTCGTAACACCACTTGCTCTTTTCTTTTTGTGCAATTTAGATTTTTGAAATTGTATCAGCATATATTTTTATTGATATATTTATAGGAACCTCCTCATTGTAATTTTGGTGTTCGGTTCAAAGCTCTGACAAAAAGTGTAAAATTTGAATCAAAAGCCGTAATGTCGGAGGGTATTGGAACATTTTTCAAAGTAGACGAACATCAAGGCCAATATGGTTTTATTACGGTATGTTCCAAAAAATCTTTGGATAAATAGAAGCTAATATGTGCTTGTCTTATTTTAATTGGTCTGCGTGGGTTATTTTTTGTGACCGTAATTGGTTACAAAAACTAATTCTTTTGTTTAGTAATGAAATGTTTATTTTTAATGCCCGATGCAGAATAAGAAAGTTAAATATTATTTAAAAGTTAATACTTAGGAAATTAAATATATTGTTACTGTCCTTTTTTCACTAAAGATTGCAATAATTCAAAGTTTGTTCTTCATTATAATTCGAATGTAGGTTTCACCTTTTTGCGCAGTTTGAAATTGAGCACGCCTCTTCGATTAGAAAATTTATTTGCAAGAAGTGCTCCTAATTAAATTTTATTTAGACAAGTGATGGTAACACTGTTTATTTTACTGCAAGCGTTGTTCGCCCGGAAACACAAGTAAATCATTTTCTTTTTTTCATCATGTAATTTTTTCGAAAGTAAGTAACATTTTTTCCATTAGAGTTGCGTAAATTTCTTCAGTAGTCTTGTCATATTTTTTAAAAAATTATCGAACGAAATGAAAAAATGTGTATCATCCCATTTCGTTTGATAATTTTTTAAAAATTCGTTTGATTTTTCAGGATATTCGTAACGCATTTAAAACTGGCATACAAATAAGATATAAGGCAATTGAGCAGAAGCAAAATAATTGTCGTTGGAGGGCAATTGCTGTTTGTAACAAAAATGTTACATTTGAGAGCATTTCATCGCGACAACAAAAGCCTGTCGAATCATCGAATAACAAGTAAATATGTGAAATTTCTTAAAATTGGCCCTCAAAAATATCGATATTTTATGTTCAAACTTTCGGAGTATCTCATCATACACTGCGCTATCTACCTTTTGCTAGTACAAAATTTAATGTTTATGTTGGAATGCACGGAAGTTTTGAAATTTCAGACAAGTTGCTGCAACTGTTATAAAAAAGACATCTCAAAGCTCCGCATCAGCAGCGAATGCTGTAACGAAGCATACTGCGAACAATGATATACATCCTAATGGCCTGGTAAATAAATTTGACTGATATAATTTTCTTATAATTTTCTATAATTTCTTTCGGGGCGAATTTGTACGTTGATTAATAACTTAGTTAAATACTTCCTCCAAAAGTTAAGTTTTTTTTGATTTTTTATATTTTACTGCGAATTTTAGCAGACTACGATATGGGCGACAGCTAATTTACCTCAGAATAGTAATACACAGTCGACGAAACAAGTAAATCCAGCAATTGGTTCACGTTCAAGCTCTCTTTCTCGTTCCGATACTTCGGGTGCTGTAGGTTCAAATCGGTTGTCATCTACTCTGCTAACGACGAATACTTTACCATCAGCTACATTTGCTGAGTCAACTGGAAGTATGTTTTTGATTATATTGTAGAACTTCTTTTAAGATAAAACTTATAAAGAAAATCTTCCAGATTTTTCAAGATTTTCTTCAAGAAATTTTTCGAATTTTTGATGTGGGATTAAATATTTCCAGCGATAGCTGCAAGAATTTTTGCTTCACTGAAATTTGGAGGGCAGTAAATTAACATTTCATTTTGAAATATTCGTATTAAGTTTCGGTCCTGTTATTCTGTTTCCAGTTCTTTCTCACATTCACTTGATTTTATTGCGAAAGAGTAATTCTGCATACAAAATTTGAACAATTTAAAGATTAAATTTGAATTTTTTCAGCTGGTGATGCTTACGAAGATGCTGTCCGACTCATGGCATATTTTAGGCACTTAGTAACTGAATGTTCGTGTCAGTCATGTGTTTTACGTTAATGATCTCTTTCTGACTGATTCATAATTTATCTAAATTTAGCTTTATTATGCATTCAATGCAATAAATTGTGCAATCAATACTGTTCGTCGGTTCATTTATCATGTAAAAGTATAACTTTTTCAGGTTGCAAAATGCTTTACATTTACTGATTGTGATGCAACATTTCTTTATCTTTCTCACATTAGCATTCTATTAGACGTATTTATTGATGTATTCTTAGACGTGAGATTGAATTGAATTTTAAGCTGTATTTAAACTTAGTTAAATAATTTACTTCATAATATATTCGGATACAATCTGAATTGTCTTTTTAAATTAGTTATCTACAGATTTCTGGTATAGAACATAGTTTCTAGAACTTTTAGCACAAATTATCTTCAAAGTTGAACCAGTTAATCTATGGTCTCTTTATTTCTTCCTATTATAATTAAAACTTTTGAAGTGTTTAATTTACTGAAAATATTCTTCTACTTATGCTTTATCACCAAAATGGATGATCTCTTGTTGACGACACATGTTTACATACGTCAAATGTAAGTAAACTTCGGCTTTCCAAAAGAATCTCGTAATGTCTGTCTTTTGATTCGTTTAATCCATTCGTTTAATGATTATTATCTATGCCTCAGGCAAATCCTTTTCCATATAGTTATTGTGAAATGTTCTTTTAATTGATATACTTTTAATAATGCTCCATTTTGATGTCATTGTTGACCTGATACGCCATTATCTTTTGTTAAAATTAAATCATATATTTATCAGATAAACGCTGATTATTGTCGTTCATTCTTTTCCATGCTTCAGTTTACATTAAAAAGTCTTTTCTATCTTACGAATTTATACTTTAGCTTAATTTTTTTATCTTTGTCATTTTTTTCCTCGGAAAAAGCCAATGAATTGTTGCTACAGATAAATTTAATGATTAACATTAAGACAATACTAAAGGATGATTTTGAATCTAAAATATTGTGTTCAGTTATTTTTTCACATAAACCCATCAAAATTTGGATAAGGCTGGTTTTTAGGATTTCGGAATCAGTGGTTTCTGGAAAAGGAAATCTTTAAAGATATGTCTGTTCTACTGTAGTCTTTGATGTTTTACAATGTGATAAGGGAAGGAATGAATCTGAATTCTACAGGACACCTATTCGGATCACTATACCCATAATGATTTTGAAAGAGTTGATGGATCGGAGCTGAATGATTTGAATAAGAATGAATTGAAGTGATTCAGTGATTGATTTCAATTCAACTTTGATGTAGCTATTATTATTTTGTTATTTAGGGTACTGATCATTGTTCATACGGTAAAGATTATTCTCAGTTTATTACAGGTTTTTGCTAAACAATGCCGATTGAAATAGTGGCAAAATTGGATCGCGAATCCGCAGTATATCTTGCTGGGGAAGCAATACAATGCAAGGTTTTCTAATATCTTTTTTTATTGGTCACAAAATTTCCATACAACATCCTTGTTTTTGTGCTCAAATAATGATTCTTACAATAGTTATTCATCTTTAATTCTTTTCTTCGTATTAGATTAAATGAGCGGATATTCATATGAAAGAAATATTTTGTTATTCTATTACTTAACCTAATACTTGTAGTACCTACTATATACCTACTAGTATCGCATGTCTAAGATATTAATATTAATTTTTAAGCGACTTTTTTAAATAAGCTATTTTCTAAAGAACTTTTTCCTTTGTTAAACTAACAGACGTTGTCTTTTACTAAATTGCATTTAAATCATATATTTATCAGATAAACATTGATAATCATCGTTCATTCTTTTCCGTAATTCGTTTTACATTGGAATTTTTTCTCCATCTTTCCGATTTTCCGGATTATTTTCTTGCAAAAGCATTCGAAACGCATCATGATTTTTTCTCTTGTTCATGATATGTCATACTGAAGTACCACCATCATAGTGTAACTCTTAACTAATACTATGTTGTTTCTGTTCTAGGTAATAGTGCAAAATATTGGTAACGATGAGGAATCCTTGGCTTGGGGAAGCGTTCATGTGCAATGCGAACGGATTGTCCGAGCTAATAAGGCTGATGTTGCTGTACCGAAGAAAAGTTCATTGGAAGGAAAATCGAAAGGGATCGGGACAACTGCAATGTCAAGTTCCGCTTTTACCATGTTTTCTTGCCGACCAGTTATTTTGTTTTGTGAATTGGTCCTAAATGCTGGTGAAAGCCATAGTTTTGAATGTACACAACAATTACCATTGGATTCCATACCGCCATCATTCAAGTTTGTTTTACTTTGCAATTTTTCTTACAAATTTCTCAAAGAGTCTTTTTTATGTCGTGTGTCCCATTAACTTAAATCACATAAAGCATTACCAGGAATAATTTTTGTCAATTATCTATCTTGTATGAATACATGCGTGTTTTTAGAGGACACCTTGTGCGTTATGTCTATAAATTGACGCTTGGAGTGCAGCATGTTAAATCACCAATCAAACTAATACACGTTCCATTACGAATCATACAGGCTGACCTTGGATTGACGTTACCTTCTTCACCAATGCTTCTGAACCCTTTCATCAGTAATCATAGTGTTGGGTAAATACCGTATTAAATTAAAACAGGATTTAATAGTATGTTTGTTTTCTTGGTTATGAGATGGATTATCCATGTAATTTCCGGATTCAACTAAGATTAATTACTTGTAATTAGCTGGATAGATGGAATCTAAACAATCAAAATAAGGGCGAATGTTAACAATGATACAAAGATTACTAAAGGTATTGATTTTTGTTGCACGGAGCATATGTTTTTTGTTCGTGACTTCAGAAATTGTGACAGTTGACAATAAAAACGAAGGAGGGACTGCATTAAGCAAATTGAAAATGCAAAAGTCTGGCTTCAAAGAAATATTTTGTCTTATGGAGGGTAGGGAGATTACTATACGCCGTCGCTTGACTCATAAATAATTATTCTCTTTCCTTCTTAATTAAGTATTTGCTATTTGATTTTTTCAAAATAATTTTCTCTTGTAGACCATCGATTGTTGACTTAGCTATGGAAGCAACCGACTGTTTAACAGCACCCCACGGAGCTTACAGTTACAGTATTACAAATGCATCTGGTCGAGTTGCCAGTTTTTTACTCAATAAAAAAGCCTACAAATTGGGAGAAGATGTTATCGGCAGATTTAATTTCGATAACTACGCCGTACGATGTCTTCAGGTTTATAGCTTTACATTCTGTTCGCAATTGATAGAAAATATTGCGAATACATCTGATATAGTTACATCTTCTTACGTTCTATTAGCATTTTAACTTATATTTACAATAAATAAATAAATAAATAAATATATATATATATAGACCAAAGATTCCAACTGTGGAAACCTTCTAGATAAGTTTTCTGGGACTGATATTACAAATTGAGGAGTGTGATCATGCACACGGATCACTGATACAAATGAGAAGTGGAACATGTGTGCCGGTAGGACAACTACTGGGACCTTTATTATCCCATACAATTCCAAATTTTTCTGACCCATGCAGTCCTCAAACATTTTTTTTATTTATTCGATAAAATAGTCTTCTCAAATGTGAAAAAAAAGCAGTTAACTTCTAAAATGATAAGTCTGACATAACGCAAACACATCGCACTCTGTTATTGAAATTGATTTCTAGTTTGCTGTCAGTTTACAATCAGTTGAAAATTTGGTAAACGAAGAGTGGTTTTCACATACACATGTAACCACCCATATGATTGAGCATATTGTTTGCGCATATTGGACTGAAGCAACGATACGACTGCATATACCGCTTTCGGCAACATCCACTTTTTATACCGATACGGGCAAGTTTTAAGTTATGATTAAGGATTTTGAAATTTTGAAAAAAAAAAAAATGTTTAGGGTGTAACTATCAACTATTATTTGGCAAAAAATGAAGCAATTTAAAAGAGTGCCTCTATCTCCATTTTATATTTATATAAGCTGCATATTTGCAATTGATAAAATTAAAGTCAAGGAGAGAAACGAAAATTAAACGAATGCAAAATTATTTCTTCATTATATTTTGAGTATATAGTCTGTCTGTTACACGTCAGTCATATGTTTACATGTATATGAAGATTAGTTTATTCATTTAGTGTTATGCTTCTCTATAGCCTATCTTCCATTTCGGCATATTTTTTAGTGCATTTGAAATGGCGCCTTCACTTCGAATTCGTAACATGTAATGATTTTAATGAAGAAGCGGAAGAGGGTCTTTGGCAAGCACCCGAAAACGTCAACATAGAAACTATGACATGGGATCTGGACATCAAGGTCAGTGGTATTTTCAAACATCAAATAATTCTTATTTTCCCCGATTTCATCAGTTTCCCAACGAATATAGCGAATTTTCATATAGTGTGACCGAATTTCAGGTTTTTCCATGTAGTCCGCATAATGCGGCCCTTACACTACCAAGTCCAGCTACTCCTGCTTCCATTATTGTTTAATTTATGTCGCAGGGCTAAGGATGTAAGTTTTTCCCGTTACTATGCAAAATGGAATACTGAAAAGGAACTGTATGATAAATGATTTTATGCATGTAACAAAACAAGATTACAGTGAAATGGGATTTTGTACAATTTATATGCCACCTGAACCATGAAAGAAGAACTTTACTCCAACAGACAAAACTGAATTTAATACTTTCACTAACCAACATTTATACCGTTTCGAAATTTATGGTATAATTGTTGAAAGTGCAAGAAACAATAAGGGAACCTTGTGGTGAGAAATCCGCATCGTACAACAGTTCTTCGCCTAGTTTATTATTTTCATGAAGAATATCAAAATTCTCCTTCTTGATCATTGTCCAACCGCCGTACATGCAAGAAACAATATAGGAATTTTCATCTGCAATACGTATGCTCCATGCACTACCGCTAATCTGGAATGAATGGATATTTTTTTGTTTGTTAATTATATATTGTTGCTTTTGATTTCTCGCTTTTAAATATTTCCTTCTAATACTCTTCATATCATTGAATTCAATTTCGAAATTTGCTAAAAGAATTTTAAAATGTAATTTAATTTCAAGTCTAATCTAAGGATCTTATGAATATCTCAACTCTTTTCTTATCGCTAGGACAAATTTACGAAATTTACCGAACTTGCAAAAGCAAAAGTGACCTTTCTGTCAAGAATGCATTGGACGAAATTTCTGAGATCGATACGGCGTAGGTGATCATCGTAAGAACCTGTGACAATATATTCTGAATTTTCCTTACGAAGGGAAATGACTCCACATCTATGTGTCGTGTTAACACTAATTGGTTGTTTAGTATCTGATCGCAAGTCCCATAATTTTAATAAATTATCTTCTCCACCCGATAGGATACAATTGGTATCGAGCCATATAGTTGTCCAAACCTCACACGGCTTATCAGTGTATGGTGATGAATGTCCCAAAAAGGAAGAAGATATATTTCCTAAAAATGAAGAATACAGAAGAAGTTTAAAGTACGGAAAATTCGAAAATAAATGGAAAGGTGTTGATATCGCTCGACTATACTCGCTTGGAAACTGTACAAATAGATCACTTGCTTGCTCAAAGAACGTTTGTTTTTTTTTTTTTGTTATCTTTCAATTTAAATACTCGGCAGACTTTTTAGCCTACCGAACTGTGAGTCTTTTAGATAAATAAAGTGCTCTCTCATAGTACCAGTCATGTATATCATTTCCTCGAAACTATCATGGCATCCGAACAAAAATGATCTTAGCAATATGCTTCCTGTTTTCTATCCTTGTATATATCTTCGTGAAGAAATCAGTCCATCAGCGCCGGAAACTCTTTAGTTCTGTGCTATTACTATTTTACACTGGACATTGCACCGGAATATTACATATTACAGCGTGCCATTATAAGCTTATTGTTCTAGTGTACATTTTTACCGTCGAAGAAAAAATCTAAAGTAATGGTATTTTCAAATATTCATGCATCCAGCATTAGGATTACTTTTTCTCTTGGAGAATAAATCATGCTTGATGATTAGGTAAATATTCAGTCATGGTAAAAGATTTTAAATTAAATTGAGTTTGAAAGGTACTACTGCATCTCTCACAACATTCAAAACTTAGATTTTAATCAAAAAGTACCTGTTTCTAAACTGATAACATGCACCGTTCCATAACCATCGGAGCAGAGTGCGAAATCCCCGCAAATTGCAATCGAAAGTAAAATTCCCTTTTCCGTCACTGGCAAAATATGCACAGCGTCCAAATTGCTATCGACCACACCAATTGATCCGGTTGTTAAGGCAGAAAGAATGTGCCCATTAGGTAGTATAGCAAAACGAAAAACTCCTCCAGGTAAAGCGATTAACTTATCCACTTTGTTTCCGTGCAATTTATATATGCTACCGGAATAAGCATTATTATTATGCAGCTGATAAGTCCCAATAATACATTCCATTGATTTCTTCTCCGTGAATTCCAGAACAGCGGGTTTTTCATGGAGGACGAGCGAGTGGAATTGCATTATTGGAATTTTTAAGCCAAAATTCCAGAATCTAAAGATCTAGTTTGAAAAGCAATACATTTCTAAAAACTACAACAAATTATTGCTGTCGAGCGCTTCGATCAGTCTCTATTAGACATTCTCGTACAAGAATCCGAGCACGGATGATATTTCGCTTCAAGCGTTCCGAACAAATTTTGTTGTTTGTATACGATGGCCGAATATCCTTTCCCAGTTCTTCGATCACCTACAAAATAATTGAAATTTTATAGAGAAAGTCGATAATGAAGGAGAACATGTAACACTTTCACTATCCACTTCAGCTACTCACAAGTTGCAGAGAGGAGGGACATAATATAATTAAAACAATTCCAAATCTTGTAAAAATAGGAATACTTGAAGTTGCGAATTTGGAATCAAGCAATTCGGAAAATGGCAAACAACCAACACTCAATAATTGGGTGTATTTCGACGCTCCTGACACTTGTGTAGCTGGAACCGAATATTGGGGGAGTGTTGCGGTAGTTGATGATTGATTAGGGGTTAACTGCTGTATAGTATGTCCACCAGTTTCACTAGACATAACACTTTTCAAACGGCAGGATGATTGGCAGTGACTGAAGTAGGAGTATCTGAAAAACATATTGATGACAGAAAACAGATGTCATCACAATTTAACGCATCATGAGCTCACCACATCTTATACATCTCAAAAGCACCTAAATGTGTACAAAACTTGAAGCCCACCAGAAAGCGGTATAGCATACAGAAACGAAAACAGGTAACAAAACATGAGAATGCAGGCTGTTGCACGATCGTTGCATGATATGGCACATGAAATACAAGAAGAATAATGCGGTTGTCCATTTGGTTGTGTAGAGGGATTGCCTGTGATGGTATTGGAGTTCTCTTTAGGGTGCGTTTCCTGGGAGTTGAACCTTTCAGGAACTCCTTTTGTACTTCGGGAAACTGTTTGCCAGGAATTAATACATTACAAATGCCGGTTCCGTTTTTCTTGATCCAGTTTAACAATCTATTAAAAAAGTATACATTTATTACACTTCTATATCAAACCTTAACTTTAAACTTTCGCCTTTTGATTTCGCTTTGAAAGCGATTATCAAATCTGAATCAACTATTTATGAATAGTCTCCAATGCATTTGATCTTGGTTTTTAGATTTCTTTTTGTCACATTATTTCAAATATCATTGAAATTTGTTCTTCGTTGAATTTTCACTGATGGATTGAAGCTTTTCAGAATCCAATTCAACAGTCAGTCTGCTTAGAACGTTTGCGTGAGTGTGGGAGAAGTTTTACGTTAAAGTATTTCAAATCATATACTAAAACTTTAATCCTTCTGTACTGGTTCGGTGTTACTTGTATTTTCGCCTGAAGAATACTGCAAAATGTCTAACGTGAGATTCTACGTTTCATTTTACTAAAGATTTAAGAATCCATATTTTACACAATAGGCCGAATTTTAAATCATGGAACATTTGATGTTTGATTCGGTCCAAGTCATGGGAGATGCCGTTCCAAATGAGTTTGTCTTCTGTGAAGCAGCTACTAACCCGTCAAGTCCTGGTTTCTGAAGATTCATTTACTACAGATGTCCCTATCGTGATACTGAGCAAAAATAAACTCATTACTGCAAGTTATATTATCAATATCAACTTTTTTACTTATCAAGTCTAATTATTGAAATTCGTTTGAATTTCAGACATATATATTTGAATTAAACATGACGTGTGAGGGATGCGCAAATGCAGCAAAAAAAGTGTTGTCGAAGTTAGGGAGTACGTTATTATTCATTTGTGTAACGTCCTCAAGTCTCAAGGAAGTTTTTATACTTTAGGGTTCTTTTTTTATTCTTTTTATTGCTTCAGAATTTTTTTCGTTTCCTGTTCGACTGAAATACCTTATCAATGAGCTGGTTCTTAATGAGCAGTACAATGAAAATTACGAATGTCAAAAACCAATGGTTTTATTTTGGTTATGTTTCTTCTCTGAAGCTCTGTTTTCTTTTCAGTTCTTAATTTCATGATTTTTATTGCAGCTGATATATCGGACGTACTAATCGACATCAGGGCCCAGCGTGTCATTGTTAAAACCACATTACCTGCTGATTCAGTACTTGAAGCGTTGGAGAAAACTGGTAAGAAATGCAAGCGAATTTGTTGAAGAGCCGCCCTCATCCACCATTTGAAGCTTCACTTAAAAATTTCTAATAATTCCTTATATCAGAAACATACGAAAGAACAAGATAAATAATGTCTCTAATAAAACCAAAAATTTTTAGTAATTCCATACATTTTTACCATGCCTAAATCTTGAATTCTCCTAATTTCCAACTGATGTTTTATTCCAGTTTTCACTGCTGGTTGTTTTCTGTGATTTTTTTAAAAGTTTTTTCAGTCTGGTTCATTTTCTTACAAAGTGCAGTTTATTTGAATGCAATGTCTTCATGCTCAATTTTTTAAAAAAATAAAACATGGCGTTTTTCTGAATTAAAACTATTTTAGTACTCATATCATCCAGTTTTTATGCATAGTTACATCTCGATATGAAGGATAGCACCTATCATTTCCAATAATTTCACTTTATTTGTCCCTATTCATTATCAATCCGATTAAAGTAGTAATTTGGTTACCATTTATCTGCTAATTATTCCATGCACTTGTACGTCACATATATATGTTCATTAATTTAACTGCATTGTAATCTATTTGCCACTACTGATAAAGTAATTAGCTTCGTCTCAATCTCAATCTTTATCCAAATTTGTGACTTTACGTTACTGTCTGATTTGAACGTTGGGTAAATATTAAATTTGATACATCTGAACAGATTAAATTGAAGTTTTATTTCAACATTTGGTCTCTACCGGCTTACCAAAACATGCATTATTTTAGTGGAAGACATTACTTGCCGCATGCAATTATCACCAAATATGTGAGCCATACGGAGGAAGTCAAACTTTGTGTATAGCACACGAACATGGGCATAATTACAGTTCACCTGATTGATCAGTTCGTGGTAAAATTTGGATTGTGCCGGAGGTTGATAAAAAACGAGCGATTTGATACCCTGAATAGAAGGTATTTGAAGATTCGAAAACCATTTAGTCTTAATTATTGAGGCCAAAATTAACTGGAATTCGCATTTCTGTCATTTTTTCTTTTTCGAAGTAATTTATAGAAAATGACAATTACCTTAATATTGTAACGTCTATAGAAATGAAATCGTTCTGTTATGAGCATAAGTTTTTTTTCCTTCTTATAGAATAATGCCCGCGCTTTTGCTACCTGTAAATTTCAGTTATATCTTAAAAATTAATTTTTTCAACGAAAAGTTAAGTCCTTCAGCTATGTTCCGCTTCCAACAGAAGTATCAATTGAATTATTTGGTAAATTAATAGTGCGGCTTGGAAATGATTATAATGGCTTCCCAAGCAAAGGCAAAAACAACTATAGATATATTAAAAGTATAGTATCATAATCATACGCTTTTTTCCCCCCTGTCTCGTATTGGTTCCGGAGAAAGAGGTATGCAAAAAGCTTAATAATATAAACCGACCTTCCCTTCCTTTGCATATTCATGAAGTTGGACGAAGCTTTCGTTTTCATTTTTCAGATAATTTCGAATTCTCACGAAGTCAAAATATGATGGGATAAAGATAACCGTGCCCAATTCACACTTTGGCAGAATTTTTTCCTGAAAAACCAGTAATACCTATCTTGAACACATTATCAATTTTTGCCGTCTGTTCATGTTTTAAGTATCTGTATGTCCACGGACATACGCATGTATATATCTTTTAATAAAGAAGTAGTTAAATTCCTCCATAAAAACGTCGAAATCCATCCTATTAATTTTCAATAATTTGTTGAATTAGTTACATACTTTGAAAAATTTTAATCGGAGATCAGATTGATTTTCTGGCATATCAACATCAATTCGCTGCAATTCCTGGCAGTATGGAATTTCTATCTGAAATTATTAAGATTTCTAATAACGATATTAATTATTGCATAATAGAAAATTACAGATAGCTCGGAATCTCGTGCTTATTATATATTTGATCAAAATTTGCAGAGACTTCTTTTCAATGGAAAAAATATTTTTTTATATCCTAATTTGTGTAGGCCAATCAGCAAATATGCTAATGCATAAAAAAGCGAAATCAAATAGATATCAAAGCCAAGGAAAGGAATTAAGGAGATTAAAGTTATAGCCCTGTAAACTGATTAACTAATTTTTCTATTCGCTTGGAAATCTGAGTATTCATCAACCCTATCATAAAGCTTTAGCCTATTTATGTACAAAAAAAAGAAAACAAAGAAAAGCAAAAAAACACATTATCTAGCAATCCTTCACTTCGTGTAAGAAGCTTGATAAAGCCAGCAAAATTCCCACAATAAAGAGCAAATAATGCATCACATTCCGCACGACGTTCTTCCGATATCAGCACCGTTTGTCTAATAATAATATAACTTATTTCTCATTTTGATAAATTTCAATAGGTGATACACATAAAAATATTGTTCAAAAGTCCGAAAAAAATTGCAAACCTGTAAAACTTAGAGTATTGTTCGAGGCACCAACGTCGAACTCGCGATATATCAACTGTGAGTTTTTTCGGTTTTATATGCAAACTACTGACAACACTCAACAAATGTTCCCAATTTTGCATTAACAATATGTCAGCCTAAATCTTTTTGATTATTTTTCTTTAAATGACATAAATTTTGAGCAACAAAACTGTGGAAGTCTTCCATATCTACATCCAACATTTAGTATTTCAGTGGCGCAGAAGATATTTTACAATTACGAAGATTCTCACTAAACTATTATTCATCCCTCCAATCTCTATCCTTAAAGAATTAGAAAAACAATGTTGACAAATACACTTGTTTTATCGAAAAACAAATCTACCTTATCAATGATTAATACTTCTATGGAAGCCAAAAAGTCCGTTTCTCGTCCCGAGTTATTTTCGCCATCTTCACCTACAATCATCCGTAAACCTACTGGTGACGCAATTAAAATATCCGATTCATCAAATACCGTATAAAGTTTTAAACTTTTTTTGGCAATTGCAACACCAATTCGGAAGCAATCATCAATATTTCCACTCATTAATTTCCGATAATCAACTGAAACCTGAAAACATTCTAATATTAGGTATATAATAAAACTGAACGAAACAAAACACACATATGAACAAAAAAACAACTATCGATCAAGAAAAGCATGCAGGGCGACTGAGATGCAAAAAAAACGACTCTCCCGACGATTTTTTGAAAGCCTTACTTTTCTTTTCTCCGATATCTTAAATCCTGTTTCACCAAATTCAGCTTTGAAACGGCGATAATTTGAAATAAACGGCTTGTCTGAACTACCAAAAATCAGTAGCCGGAAATTTTCGATAATTGAAAAGACATCCTTTTTCATCGGGCAAATAATGAGCACTTTGGGTCGAGATAATCCTTGGTCACGTGTCTTTTCAATATCATCTTCAGTAATCGACCCCTGAGCTTGAGATTGAAATTTAGAAAAATTGGTGAAAATGTTTACTCCTCTTTCTCTCTCCGTGCCATTCAAACTCCTTCCCGAACAAGTATAAAAAATTACAGTAACCTCTGGGTACATTGCAAGTATATCAGATACATCAAGAGGATATATTTGTCCAGAAAGTGAAGAAAAATTATCTTTCACTATGAGAGAACAATAAACATTATTAACAGTTAGAAAATGATTAATTGAAAATAATTTAATTGTAAAACAGAAAAAATTACCTTCTCGCGACATTCTTGCAGAAAATTTTTATTCTCTATTACCATATTTCGTGTTTGCGTAATATGATTGATAGCATGCAAGCAATACAACGGCTGAATTATTTTCTATTTATAATTTAGTTTCTCGTCTAAATTTCGAGTTCAACAATTGAAAATCAAGTAGAAAGTTTTACCCCAATTCATCTTTTTTGTACTTTACTTATATGATAAAATAATTGGAAACAATGAAAGAAACAATACTGTGCAATCGATTTTTAATCCTGTTGCATAAAGGTCGATATATCTGCCAATAATAGTGTACAATGATAACTGTGCGCTGGACATCGGGTTCCCATTTAGAATTTCAAAGTTTTTTATCAACTTCGAATTCAAACCAAAATTCGTAATTTCTTCCTGTTTTAGAGTATTATCTTTCAGCTCTGAATAGCGCTGATGGAACAAACCTATCCCAAGACCCTCCTGCAAAACAAGCATCATTGATTTACAGTTCTCATCAAATTGAATTTCATAAAACAATTACATACAAAAACCAACCAGAACAACACGCTTCGGTTCGTTTGCTAATGCTAATAATGTAGACGCAACAGTTTGATCTAAAGTTTCTTCGAAATGCTGTCGAAAGTAATTTGGAACAGTATTTTCATCTCTCTCAAATGCTTCCCGAAATTTTCGTTTCCCTTTGATCATTTCTTCTTTTTAGTGTGATAACTGCAAACTCATAATGAGACCCATAAAATTCTTCGAATGTTGTGAACAATGCGTAAATTTGAAGTACTGTTGATAAGACAACATAGAGACACAACATTGATTTCATTGAGTATATGAGTAATAAGGAACAAAAAGATTGTACGACAAACAAAAACTCGTTTGATTGAAAAAACCTGACTTTAATTAACGGAAGATAAACACATGTTAACCACACATATTAAATATCCTTCGCGTTCGCAATCACAGAAACTAAACAATCTCTCACTTCCAAAATCAGCATAAAGAACAGCCAACATATGGGAAGCGAAAAGAAATTAAAACTGGAAAAGCTAGTGTTTTTTGGAAATAATTTCCTCTAAACGATCAATTTATTTATTGTTTCCATTTCTGAATGCTACTGCTCATCGTCCTCTTTCATCAGTAATATATAAGAGCAAACTAATTAAGAAAATGGATTTCTGACGGAATAAAAATTAAAATAAATTCCTTAGTTATAGTTATATCCACTTTCCAATAACATATACATATTCCCAAGTACTTGGTAGTGGAAAAATACGTTGTAACAGATAAGAAATTCATTGAAACAGTAAAAATATTTATTGGAGACAAACGAAATCTTGAAAGCCAAGTAAATGGCGATGACAGATATAATAAAATAATAAAACACAATGGTAGTTTACATGAAAAAATATTCTGTTATAAAAGATACAGGCTCATTGTTCATTCGCAGCGGCTTGTTCAGGCCTCATTGCATCCGGTACAGGCGGTGGGATTGACAGCGGCTCAATAACAACGTCTTCTTCTTCTGAAATTGAAATCAAAAATGAAATCAGTAAAATAAGGTGGAAAAAAAATGCATCATTCGCCATAGCGTCCAATTTACGAAAGCAAATGCTGGTCCGGAAAATCTGTGAAAACTGAGAACTCCGTTAGATGACCGCCTAACTTCCACTGGAAGTAGATCCTCGGTATCATCAAAATTCCTCAAATGAAATGGTCACTGCCGTGACAGTTATGCTTTGATGGTATTAAAAGAAAAAAAGCTTAAAGTCAATTAGTTATGCGAATGTAACTTTCTTCTTCGCTTTTATCCAGTAAAGAAAAAAGAAAACCTACTTCATTGTCTTATCAATAAATTATTTATTAACACAAACTGGTTAGTATCACTATAACTGCAGCAAAAGCTTGTAACAACTTGAACGGCATGTGTGTAATGTTTTCCTAAATCTTTGAAACAGTGATTTAGTTATTCCAAAAAAATACAAAAACAGACTTGAATACGAGAACTAAATTACTACAAAAAATTTAGTGCGAAACAACTGAAAATTAAAATTTTTTTCAGATTATTCTACCCTCACCGTTAGCGACAACAAGTGCTAGCGGTGTCGGTGCTTGTGCACGGGAATTCTGAGGAGTATAACCACACTCAGAAAGAGTTTGACGATCCTCAATTGTATGCCAGAAACCATCTTCGGTTTGTTTTTTCAAAATTTGTTTACTGATTGGTATCTGAAAGCATAACCATAGCATAAAAATTCAAAGAGAACCTTCTATTAAAATTTTCATAAAATATTCCGAAATCTAAATGACTAAGGTTACGCTCACCTTTAGAATACCTTCAACTATTTTTTTAAGTTCCAAAACTGTTGCATTTTCTTTGACATCGCAAAAAATATGTGTTTTGCGACGCAATATTTCGAAAAAGAGTTCCTGGAATTCCACGCTAATAAAATATGCCGAAGCAGAATTTTCCAGAAATAATTTAATAATTAGCAAAATGTGTATGTTTGAAAGTTCAATATAGCTAAAAAAACAAAAAATAATGGTAAACTAGGGAAACTGCGACGCAAAAAACGTATTAGATTACAAATTAGCATGAAGCAAGTCTCTTAAAAAAACTCTACTCTGGTAAAAATACGAAAATAAAAGAAGCGAACCATTTTACTACTATCCATACAAGTGGATATCTGATTAGACGCTGAGCATTATCCAATAAGTCATGCAAAGGAAATTAAAAAATGAATCCTGCAATTGGAAAAAATTGAAGTATACGAAATTTAGATGTGATTAAACGAAGACGACCTGACGCCCATTACTACTATCAGCTTTCCTGCATTTCAGAATTTATGTGTTAACAAAATACAAGATTGTATAAATCAAGGATACATTTTCTTACCACTTCTTTCAATCTTTATGCTCTATCATTGCAATTGCTTCATTTAAATATATCTCTGGGAATAAAGAAAGGGCTTAACTCTCAATTCTCAACAAATGTTTAGAAAGCCAGCTGCTAGAAAAGTGGAATACCAAGTCAGAGCTATTTCAATAGAAATTTTGGAACTTTTAATATGCGGACGACGCAAACTAATACCTACTAGAATCACCAGAGATCCCGACTACTCAATATAAAATATCTACTTATACTTCAAGTATAGAAAACACTAAACTACTATATACTGGACCCCCTGCAAAATTCGCATTCTCATCGTTATTCTTTTTTGAAATGATAGCTATTAAATTTGGTTTTATCATCACCAATATGTTAGAACTAGCCGAAAATGCGTCCAAAGGTTTATTTCAGCTGTGTTTGATTATTTGGATTAAAAAATAAAATTAATCAATCTCTGAATAGAAACTATTGCTGCCGCAATATCACAAATGATCTACCTTACAAAATCAACTAACAATCTATAACCAACACACGAATTCTTATTTCTATAATCTAATACCATTTGAAGAAAACTTTAGAGTAAAACATTTTTACGCAGTGTTGCGCAAAAAAACAGACACATTTCTACTAAGTGGCCTTTTTTGATACCGCATATTCAAATTATTGAGCGCAATGCACGCCAAAGCCAAGCGAAAAAATTATATACACAAAAAAAAGAACGGAAGTACTAATTTGCAGTATCTCGAAACACACGATGAGCTCCGGAATTAAAGAACAGTTACTTCAAATTTTATAAAGCAAAATTAATTTCAACATTTACATTTTACATACAGACAAGGTAAAACAGTTAAATACATGTATGGAACTTCGAACTTAAAAATAGAAATGAGAAAAATCCTCAGAAACCAGTAGTTAACCTTATAAAAACTTTTATCTGAGCAACGGGGAAAATTTGAATATCTGTTACGTTGGAATCAAACACCTTCCTTGGTTTTTTTTTTACAAGAAACTAGTCTCAGCTACCCATACTAACTCAGCGTGTACTGACACATATGAAGATAGAAGCATCTATCTGTAAAATATAAATATATATTAGGTATAAAATCAAATGAAATTTTCCTCATGTCTGTTCCAATATGAAGCAAATCTTTCTAAATAACTGATACTACATACCTCCAAATTATTTTATGGAGATGGAAACGAAAAAAATCTCTTGACCAGTCATACGTAAAATAACTTTTAAACACATAAAATCCCCGAATATCGCAATCAAATGAACACAAAAATCCATTTCAGATGCCAAGAATCTTGAAGAAGTTCAGAAGAGAAAGCATTTATAAATCTATGCATAATATTTATCCTCCGATAAGTTATGAAGTTATTACTATGAGAGTACATAAAAGCGAAGGAAAAACAACAAAACTGATGATGGAAGTGAATGTAATATGTCAGTTAATGCACTCAAAGTTACCTCACACTTAACGTTTTTGGTCACCCAGATCTTCAATTAAATGTGAATCAATAAATGGCCATTTTGTTCCTATTATTTCTAGTATTTCATCCTTTACATCACCTTGCACCACTATTTCATCAGTTGCGGTTACCGATGAACCGCATGCAAAACGTCCAGCAAACAATTTAGCGGTAGCTTTCAAATCCACATCTGCAAATAAATAACTGGTGAAATCTAATTATCTGCGAAGCTGACATTTCCGTTACAGCTAAACCAACATATATAATCTAAAACCTAACGTGTGAAGATCGTAATTTAAAGAATCATGAGCAAGATTGCTTGCACATATTTCAGAATCGTTAAACATAAAATGAATAGGGCAGAAATCTTAATTGTCCATACTAATTAAGGATGGAATCTGAAAGTTTTTCAGTGAAATGGTAGGATAGAAAGCAAAGTGTCAACGTATACGGAAACTTTTTCCGCTCTTTCTCCTTTCCATGTAAGTTCTCAAAGAAATTTTTACTTTCTAAATGCAATCTCCTCAACAAGCCAATCAAATAAAAAAGTAAATATATTTTTGCAACTATGAGATATGTTAAAATGAAACTTCCTAATATGAAAAAGAAAGGAAAATATCATCGAAATTACCGAATGAAGCCAGCCCTTTGATCACTGTAACGGATTTGTTTTTTCCACGAGCTACTCGTTGTAATGTAACTTTCGTTACCACATTCTTCTTCATCGCTGCATTTTTTTCGTTTACAATTTTAGAACCCTAAAAAATGTTGATTATTGTAGTCTTGACTTCAAAATCATCGTAAATAGCAAATTTTGAACTCCATTGTGATACTTTGATTTTAAATTTTAAACTCTGAAATATTTTCGGATCAAAATACTACAATGTAAAAGAAATTTTTGTAAATATTTGAATTATCTTCTAAATATTTGAATCATCTTCACATGATTCTAATTTATTAATCCTGTAACGTCTTAAATCAACGAAACAAAAACAAGAAAGGAAAACTATGATAAAATGGCTAGCCAATTAGCTACCTGCAAGTTCATGATGGGCCATCTCATTATTTCCTTCAATTTATCCAACAGCTAGTGCTAAATTTAAAGAAGCAATAATACAATCAGTTATGGAATTGGGATAGTCAGCTATATATCTGTGCACAGTCAGAATCTCTGCACAAATATTTATTTTCTAGCGGAGTAATGTTATGATACAGAATTCCAAAATATTGGAATTTCTACCCTTCTCTCAGACACCCAGAATGTCTTATACATCGATACCTCAAACACGAAGAAATGCCTACCTTGCCACCTCGTTTCTGATGTTTCTTTTCAGCATCCGCTGACTCCTTTAAATTTGTTAAATTCAATTTCTCGAATTCGGACGGCAAATTAGCTTCTAACCAACTTAAACATTTATCGGTCATCCCACTGTACTCGCAGTATTCAAGCGGCATACTGCAAACTGGAAAGACATAATTTGTAACACTTTTACTAAAATTAAATTTAAAAATTCGATTTGAATTTAAAGCCCACAATTGTATTTTTAAAAAATAGAAAACCTCCACAATACTGCACCGTGAGGGGAAACTTGACAGAAACTGTATCCGTCGCTTCGTCTTCATCATCAGCCATTCCTGCAGAGTCGTCAAATTAAACTAAAGCTCAAATCCTAGAAACACGTCATCACAAAAAAGTCTCCTAACGAATACATACAAGACTGACATCATTCTTTCAAAATATCACTTTTGCCACTTTTATCAAAACATATGTAAGCTGTGGAAAACGAGTTGAAAATTGTAAAGAGAAAACTCCTATTCTCATCCGTGTCAGAAATCAAAAATTAAGCATAATAAAAAAAAACACTTTTTGGATTCAAAATCGATACAACCATTAATGAAATCCAACGCAAAATAATGGGGATAATTGTATTTTATTCCTCAAATTCTAGAATGGAGGTCCACAATTATAGGTTAACTAAAACGGAATATCATGAAATGTATGTATGCAATAACGAAGTATTGAACTTCTTGCAATGCTTGTCGGTGATGTCAATCTTTTTACGCCGTTATTTTTAGACATTAATTATCAGTAAGTTATCACAATGAATTTGACTGAGTTAAACAGTTAGTGACTACCACTGTTAAGTAAGCTGCAAATTTGTATTGCTAAAAAACTGAGCATCGATTGATTTGTTTTTTCCTCTTATCTATTACTCTGTGCTTCATTTTTGAGCCTCAGATAGAAACGAAATTCCAAAAAATCAATCGACTGCTTTTCCAAACGTTATACTTTGAACATGAGGCTTCCATATACAACATTTACAGCATTATGAATATAATATGATGCTAAATTTTTTAGAAAATGCTATAGAAGAACTAAATTAATCTAAACATTAGGAAATCTATCACGAAGGAAATTACAGAGCAATTATTTTGCAAAGACCGATGTTCAAATTAAGACAACAATGGACAAGGAATGTAGAATTTCTAGTCTCTTTTTGTTAAGCTATGTACATATGTAAAATTTACAGAATATGCAAAAATTATTAACTTGTCATGAATTTAAATTCTAGAATATTTAATTGAAAATTAAATAATTCAAAAATTGGGAATCAAAACCCGGATTAAGGTAAATACTTGATCCGGATTTTAATTTTCAATTTTTGAAAGTTCTGGAAACCAGAATCCTTCCTCAACATTAGTAAGCCAAGACCGATATTAATTGGTGAAGACAATTGCGTGCTGTGCAGTGGGATAATCGACCAATGGGATATTGATGTCACTGCATACTTTTCAGAAATGCGAATAAAAAATACATATTTCAAATGTTATGTAACCGAAACCAACCGATAAGCGGATAATTTGCACCAAAAAAATATAACCAATCCAGCAACATTACCGATTTTGATAACCTAACTGATAATTAAGCCAAATAATTAATTTCATGAAAGAAAAAAGACACAGACCTACAAATATTCAAAACAAATAAATGTATGAGTAAACGTATCCTTCACATTTTTCCTAAAAAGAGAGATGTAATCCATGGAAAATACACTCTACATTATAGAGCCAAGTAAAAATGTAAAAGCCATGACTGAAAATATTAGTTTTATAGTGCAATATTACATATTTACAGTTTTATAATTTACAATATTACAGTTTGAAATATTACAATATTGCAATATTACAAACTACTCTCCAGGATTTCCCACTTCTGCGTATCGAAGTCGTTTGTACAACTGCGTGCAACTATATTATCATTATTTTTTAGTCCCACCACATCCAAGCAAAGATCCACATCTTCGTTTCGCAATTTGCTATCCTAAAAAAATTGAATTATTAACGTAGATGTTTGTAGAACAATGAAAGTGATCTACTGTCCTACAAACTTATACCCATAAAAACCCTTACTCCCGAAACATTCGCTTCTTACTTTCGTGAAAAATATCAGCCAGATGAAGAGTCGAGGACTAACAAAATGCATTCACCTATACCTTGAGAGAAGAAATAAAACTTTTCAGATCAAAAAACTTAATTACAAGCAATAGAATCACCTTTAAAATCCATCTGTCTTCTTTCTCACTTTCTCCACAATACACTAATTGAACAGCTGCCTTGTTGTCCACAATAGTATTCTGATAAATTTTAGCGCAAGTTAACTCACGTCGTAGCTTCCCATCATTTGTCAAAGAAAACAGCTAAACGCAAAAAGGTTAACTGATTGATTTATTTAATTCAAGATATATCAACTACCTTACAAATGTTTCGAAGTTTGAAAATTCTGAAAATCTTTTGCAGAACACTGTAGATTATATTTCAAACTTATCTAAATTTCAAAATATACTTGAGCTTCGCTTTTACCACTTTGGCATGAGAAAACCCCAAGAAATATAGCCTTGTCTTCATTTTGTTGCAGTGTATCCAAACAAAGTCCACTGGAGGGATTTCGGAACTAAAATTACCAAATTAAAACCTGAAGGAGAACAAAGAATTTCTAATAATGCAAAGTGCTCTCAATAATAATTCTTTTTGCCAAGCAATGAGCAAAACAAAGTATGTAATCTTGAAAAAATTTCCAGAAGTTAATCTGAAGACTAATAAACGGTATGTTTTTGTATACATACATATTATGAATGTTGCTAATGACTCATTCAATATCTTTTGCAATAACGCAACCTATCAACTTAATTTATAACTTAGAAAGTAAATAATGTACCGCTCCAAATGCTTTAACATTTTCATCCAAAACGAATTTATTTTTCGCCACGTTTTCCAAATACCACTTGAATGACTTGCAATTCAATCTTTTACGCAAAGCTCTCCTTTCTGAGAGATCGCCAACGTCTTTATTCTGTAAAGCAAAAATCTCATATAATGTCCCATATAATGTACAGACATTAGTAAAAAATGGAAAATTTTTGGTGAAACTAGTTGATTTTTGTAGGATTTAAAGAAAGGTTCACGAATCCTCATTCCAGTTTCATCGTTATGTCTCCAAAGATAGCAGCAAATGATTCACGTATGACCAGAGAGAATAACTTCTTCATATGTATAAGAAAATGAGGTATCACGTTTTGTTCTGGGCTTTTCATATAAGTTTCATTCAATTCACTTTCAGGAAGTTACATGAATAACTGTCCTCCAAAAAAATGGATTGAAGAGAAAACACACATCACATTTTTTCAACTACTACTTTTTTGCGGTAGTTTTCACAACGTCTATCAAAAATGAATGAAATAAAAACATCAGTACTTCATCAGTAAAGGATGTTGCAACATCAGTAAAGGGTGTTGCAACATACAGAAACATTTTTGTTGCGAGATGTAATAAAAACGAAAAAGTAATTCAGAAAAAAGTCAACTTGGGACTACTCAAAATTGTGGCATATATTTCCTATATCTACCTTCAAATCTGTCCGATGAAGATAATAAAATCTCTTATAGTCATCCATCCACACTTCTGCTAATCTTTTTGAATTGGTGCCATGTACATCCTCATTATTACCAGGCCCAGTCATGTTATATGGATGGCCGGCTCGAAATATATGGCCAACATGTGAACAAGGAATAAATTCAATACTTCCACCACACATCCACACCTGAGATAGTCGACAAATAATTGATGGAAAACTTGATGAAATCCCTAAAATGTTAAAATATCATTCACTTATCTGTAAATGCATCTTTTCGATGCTATAAACTAGAAGTTTTTTCTTTAAAAAAATTTTGATGAAACCCTTAAAAAATAACCCTAAATGATATTTCAAGATTCTCTCCACCCCATATATCCATTTTAGGATCATATCCACCAACTTCGAAAAAATATAACCTGTCTGCTGCCAAAAGACCACCTGCCATCGTTGGAGACCTGAAAATGTCACTTAATCATAATAACTTGACATCTCTCTTAGAAAAAACAAGCCTATTCGCAAAATGGATTTCATGCTGTTAGAAAAAAATCACAGATGAATACTCTGAAGGCGAAACCCACTAATATAGAGCATTTTGCTCATTTTAGACTATTTTGTGTGAAAAAGTTTAGGATCTGAATAAGTCCAATAAATAAATTTACGAACTTTATTGGTTTCGTGGGATCAGCATTGCGATCTTCCTTCGGCAAAGGATCCCAGCGGAAATGAAGGCTCCACCAAAACCCACCAACATCAACAGGACGATCACTACCAGAATAAGCCAATGTTTCAGCTGATATATGATCAATGATAGGACAGAGAACAGCCGACCGATTATCCTTGATACGTGCCAGTAGTGGTTCTAACCTGAAAAAAACCGCAAAGAATTGAAACTTGCAAGCAAATTCAGGACTTGAGTGAAAATTAAAAGGATCCCAATTCTTTCAAATTATTTTATCCGGTAGAATGCAATTATTCAATTATATGCAAATGATAAATATCCCGTGTCATCATTAATGCTGAAAAAGAAAACTTCAAAAATTGCACAGATTTTTGGATGACTGCTTCGTAAGAAGTGGAGACAAATGAATCTCCAAGACAGATGTGCACGATTACGGATAGTATTTACACGAAAACTTGGACAATAAACTTTTTGCATGCACAATAATACTCGCGCAAACAAATATAACGGAATAAATTTACCATCCTTCTGATACTTCACAGTGGGAATCAAGAAATACCAATACATCACCAACTGCTTTTTCCGCGCCCAGTAATTTCGCCCTTATCAAACCTTGTCGTTCCTGTGTCCGTATCAAATGAACTTTGCCGCCAAAGCGTTTAATGTATTCTTTTAATCTGCCTTTCAACTCATCTGAAATTAAAAGGTCTAAATTCTTAACTCCATCAGTATTTCAATCATGGACGACCACACTGCTGCTGTTTATATAAAATTCATCAGTGCCGAACAACAAGAATTTTAAGTGATCGAAATCCACTTAAAGCTAGAATAATTGTCGCAAATTTCAAGCCTTTCAAATTTCGCACAAAATCCCATATACTTTATGCAAACACAAAGAAAATAAGGAATATTTTCTCTAGCGATAACTTGAAATAGTTTTCTACTTCCTTTCATGCATTTTTTTAAATTCAATTGACACCATAAAGGTACGAAGTGTTGGAATAAGCTTACAAGCATAGGTATAAATGTAAAATTATTTATAGCAAATATTTAGTCCAAATTGTTTTGTTTTTCTATTTAATTTGTCCCACAAACAATATTGTGTCAATAATTTTTCTAACCATGTTGCAAAAACAACAATAAACAAAGCATAAGAAAAAAGCAAAGAATATTATTAATTTGCTGCAAACAAATATTCAATTAGAGTTTAGTAATAAAGAACTGCATATTATAAATGAAAACAACCTCTTTGACTAAAATCATCGACTAGAATGATTTCCTGTAGCAATTTAAATGGTGTTCTGTTGATAACGGAATGCACAGTTCGCATTAATGGTGACCACGCTTCATCAGTGAAAATAATCACTACTGAAGCAACTGGTAAATTATCAGGATAACTAATTTTACGACACCGTTCATGACGATGATCTGGTATACTTCGATTTAGTGATATCATGTCACTGAAACAAAAAATTTACGAAATGATGACATTTAGGAATGTTAAAAATAGTAAAATAGTATCTTATTTTAATCACAATGAATAAGCAATAAAGGTAAATATTGCTTAGTAAAGGTTATTACATGACAATAACACTAGAAGTGTAAGTAGAAATGATCATATTCTTGACATGTTAAATATGCAGATATTCAGATAATTGAAGGTGAGGTACAAATTGGTGCAAAAAAATTGTTAAAAAAAACTTGTAACAATTTTTTTGCACCAATTTGTGTTTTTGGTAATATGGAAATTTATAAAAATCATTCCAGTGATTTGAAGAGAATATGTAATCAGCTGTATGTAATATATCACAATCTCAACCTGGTAGGCATATAACGGATTAAAATTAAGTAATTGATACTCTACTATTTATACTTTTCACATCACAAACAATTTGATTCCTGTCAAAGTTTGATGAACAGAAAATTTTCATGAAAAATTATAATTCTATTAATTTACAATGGTTGCACTTACACCGGCATAATACAATATTAGTAATAATTATGAACATTCACTCTCCGTCTTATATCATGATAATTTGTATGAAATAATGTTTTATAAAGGCTTCAAGCAATATTACCCTTTGAAAGCTACAAATTTAAAGCGGTGTTTAACTTCTAAACAGATAACAATTTATTGATTATGCTAATATTCCTTCAACAGAATTCCATCAATAATCTTGTAATATTAAGCCAGTACCCTCGGCATTTTTTCATTATTTTTAAGAAAACCTTATCTTTCTAATTTATAAGAAAATTTTCTACACATCCTTCTCACATAAAGAAAGTAGCAAGTCAAAATAAATGGATATTACCTTGCAACCACATTCATAAACCACTTTTTCATATCCGCTTCTTCTTGTACTTTCTGTTTTCCGGTCAGATATACACCATTACCATATTCTCCGAGACCCAGACGTTTCTTCGAATAATCCGGCACTTTATGCAACATGGCGCCGTGCTCCCGCTGTGTTAAGAATTAAAAAAGGAGAAGGAAAAAAACTTTAATTCATCAAAAGCAGAACATTTCATCCATAAGAAATGTCCGGTCATTCAGAACAATGCATCTTCCGGTGATAATCAAAACTGTGTTCGATTAATGAACAGGGTGACCAGAACTCTAGCTCTTCCGGTGATGACCAGAACTCTAGCTGACTAATGACGTTTTCCAGTGACCAAAACTGTGTCTGGTCCTTCATTGCAATACGTCGTTGGCCAATGCGGTGAAAAACGGAACACTTGACCATTGGATTGGGTATTAGCGATATCTGTTTATCTGGTTGATGAAGTGAACTTAAATTTAGAAAAATTTAAATATGAAATGAAAGTGCGTACTTTCCGTGCAGGTAATTGGAGCCGCAATAGATTACGCGCATAGAAGATTAGGAAAAGGACGAGCATCATAATAAACATAACGTTTAATAATACCTTTGCTTTGTAACGTGGAATAAAATATCGTATCATACTGCAAATTGTATAAATAGAAGAAACGATTAAATTAAAAAAATGATTAAATGATTAGATATTGAAGACTTGAAGTGATCATAAATTGAGATCTTTAATAAGACATAATGAGATGCCTTAAGTGAAGGAAATTTTACAAATCACTGCTAAATAAGCGACTTAAATTTTCAGTAATAATTATTCGAAATTTTGAATTAAAACCTACTTAAGCATAATTCAGTAAGACATTGAACACTTAAATACGAAATGATTCGGTATATTTAATGGCGTTAATCTATTAGAGATCACGAAAACCCAATACAAATACTTAAACTGAGTATGTTTGACATATCCAAAACAGAAATTCAACCATCTGAAACAATCGTCAATCTGGTGGTGGCACAGCTTTTCTATGCTACAACTAAATCCTACTATTAAGGCTCAAGTTGGTCTATCATTAATGACTCACTGTGAAAATTTTACTGATAAATTTTCGTTATATCACATGTAATTGGTAAACTGAGCCACTTATTTGTTAATATTAAATTCAGTCGGTTAAATTAAGCGAAATCAATAAGAGAAAAGAAATGAAACAGTAAGGAAAGATGGCATAAAGTGGAAGTGATAAGATCCGCTTATCAATTCCCATGAATGATTCGCTGTTTTAAGAAACAGTTAATCCATAATGATGATCGTATATTCAGTCCTAATATCCTCGTATGATTTCTTTCCCTTTTCATTTCTTTATTCTATACCTTCTCAACAACCTTCTCAACAGTATTTATTATTAACAACGTATTATCCTTTTTTTTTTTTGCTTTCCATCTCTTCTTATCTTATAATCTATTACGTTTCTATTGATATAAATATCATTGATTCTGTGTTCCTAATTGTTTATAAAGAAAATGAAATCAACTAATTAATGATTATATCTGTCTTTCAAAGATTTCTAATTATTTGGTGGTAAGGGGATGGCAATTAAGTGATGATCGTTGTATACGATGAATGATTATCGTTTAATCTTTTCCCATCATTTAACATTCTTTCATTCATGTTCAATAATTCCTTTCATGGAATAATTAAAATTCAAATTCAAATTGATTTACCATTTTTATTCATCAAAATAACACTCAAAGCACACATTTAACCATTTTTCCTATTCACAATGAGCGTAATTGAGAGATGGTTTTTAAAAAAAGACAAGAAAGACTAAAATTTTCATTTTAATTTTTAAAAATTTAATTATTTCTTCAGATAGCATTGTTTTTATTAATTAAAATGGTTGTGAATAAAAATTATACTTTTTGTGGAACGAAGAAAAAAAAGACACTGCAAATTGCAAATGTGAAAAGCAATGAAATCAATTTCCAATAATTTAACTGTATTTGAGCCAAAGATGTTTGTCGTTCAGATTTTTTTATCTGTTATGATAAGAAGCCAGATAAGTTGTTACTTATTATCCTTTACTCTAATCAGTTTGAATTGTTAACCAAACTTGACTTCTGGGAAGGTGACAGCCTGAAACGGATACAAGCTGCAGTGTAATTGTAGTAGTAGTACAAATATAGGATGGTGAAAAAAATCAGATATGCTAAATGCTACCATAAATATTTTCAAATCTATGCTAAATATCTAAGAAAGAAAAGCGAAAGAAATGCTTGTATTAAAAGAAAGAAAACAAAAAGACATTAATTAATATTCATATTTGATAGAGTGACAATAATATCAGAGGGGAAAACAAATTCAAGACTGAGCTATTATTTTAATTTAAATTATTAATACAATTATTACCATTAATTATCCTTGTACCTAAAAGGCTAAAAAGAAGAAAATGAAAGAAATGCAATGAATCTGTCAGGTATTCCAAAGATCTGCTTCATAAAGGTGAAAAGAATAAAAAAACTAATGAAGGTAGAAGATTAAAGAACTATTACTGACCCGCGTTATTATTCATTTCCATTTTACTCTTTTCATTTTTCACTTCTCACTATTTAATTAAATTAAGAAGCACTAAAACCTAAAAATTTCTAGTAAGTTTTTAATTTCTAAGTAATTTCTAGTAAAATTAATCCAGAAATTGTAAATCAAATTGAATTTATAGGATAAAATTTGAAAGCATACAAAAGACGACAGTGATTTTGCATAGAGAAAATAAGAGCTTGCAGATTTATGAGTAACAATAAGTACCACTGAAAATATAGGAACGGAACGTGTGAAAAAAAACCATCCCTGATCTTTTACAAATAAAAGGTTAAATATATCTACTACAATGATCCCTTCGGATATTTCTGCATACATCCATCCCAGTTGATCCCAACTTTCTTTCGATAGTAACTTTTTTGTTTCTCCTCCTGTATATTCATTCTCGTTTCATCTCACAATTCTTTTTTCACTACTTCTTCCGAAAGTGCTGAAAATATATCTCATTTGTTTCAATCAAAAATTAAGCATTTAAAATAGTTCACATTCGCTTCGTTTAAAATTAAGATTTTCCCATCTTGTAAATCTTAGCTTGAGCAAGTCATCAAATCATTATTCATTACTTATTATTTAACCTGTATCAAAACAACCATTTTAATAACCATTTCTTTTAAGCCAAGAGCTTGATCAAATGTTGCCAAGAAAAATAAAATCTCTACTATTCTTACAAGCTATTTTCTACAATACGCTGTTATATATTAATGTAAAAATAAGATGACATAACGACCTTAAGTTATCTCCTAGCTTTAAGACTGATGCACTTCTTGTTGAAATATTGTATATTTTCAGATCGTGGATTCGTTAATTACAGATTAATTTTTATTCTCATAATTTGTGCTTCTTTCGAATCTTCCAGTGCATAGCGAATTCTCAAGCTCATATGTTTTCAATTTTTGATTACCAGAATTTTCTACATCAGATAATTATAGATCGATGTAGACCCTTTTATGATCAGCAAACATTAATACTCGTGTTTACGAGTATTCATTGAATATTGCATTAAAACGATCCATAATATGGTGTTCTCGCTTATCGATTGGCTTGAAATGAAATTTAGGGTAGAAATGTGCAAGCAAGCAATCAATGGCTCACTACTACTTTTAAATTTTCATTTAATTTCTGATTAAAAATGGAAACCTGTTTATTGTTAGCACTTCGGTTTGAAATTTATTTTGTTAGCAAGATCCACAGATGGGATAAAATCATGCATATTAAACAGTATTTCACATGATAATTTATGACGGAAGCAACAAAATTAAAAAGCAAAACAGAAAAATCTGTTTTGCTTTTTTAATCATAAATTAAATCAATTAATAATGATAAATACTCTCTAGTAAAACGAAAAAACAAAAGGGAAAAACAATAAATAACAATGAAAGTACAAAATTCACTGACGCTTTATTTGTTGTGAAATATTATAAATTTCTAAAAAAACATAGGTGATAATTTATTTCTGAAGAAGACAAACTATATGGGCTGGAAGCTTACTTATTTGAAACTTTGCATTTTGATCAACAATACTTCCAATGAAACTTTTCACTTTTTTCGAGATTTGATTGGTAACTATTTTGTTTGATATATACGCAAACTCATCATCCAATATTGCGAATGATATTTATTCAAAACATCTCGTGTCTACCACTCCCTTTCCAACATTTTGCTATATGCAAACTTTTCAATAATTTTTAGCAGAATCTTTGAAATCATGAAAATTTTCACCTAAATATTTTGAAGTAACGAGAAAAAAATATAAAGACAGAAATACCTTCCAACATAAAAATACCATTTCTAACATAATTAGACAAACCATTCCAGATAGTGAGTTCAATCATTAATACAAGACGCTGATTCCGGCTAGAATTCAACAAAATGGTGCTCAACGGAGTATATGCATTGATCTTCTTCGAATTGTATTTCAAATAAAGTAAATTGAATTAATATTTTTCCTACATCTGATAAATCGATATTGCTACGTTAGTGTAAAATTACTGATGTATTTTGCCACTATACAATTATTGAGCACCAAAACTAATAAATTATTTTCCCAATAGAAAAAAGGAAAAGAAATATATCAGAAGCTTTCTGTATGTTCAAATAAGTGAGAATTAGTTAAATAGCTGAAAGAAATTGAAGTTAGATATAACAAATAAAAAAGCCGAACAAAAATGAAGAGCACTTCTAACATAAATATTAATAGAGATGAAAACAAACCATAATTTACTTGATAAATTTTATTTTTCATAACCTATGTTTTCCGTTTTTCTTCCAAGTGATAATTCTAGGTATAGATCATGAAAACTGAGCAGAATGATTTAAAGAGAAAAAGAAAGATGAAGGAAACGGAATTAAGAAGGAGCAAAAAAAGATGTAGTGAATAAAGTAATCCAATCTTCAAAAATTTTAACACCAGATTCAAAAAACAAAGTCTTTCCCATCAAATTTGGAAAATTCTTTAAATTAAATATGTTAAAATAAACACGATGGTGCCAAAGAATTGCGTTTAATAATGAAATACTTAAATTCTATAGTTCCCATGATAACTTATAGAAGACGAATCATTATATTTCTCAGATGCTGCAAATGGAGAAACACTCAGGCTTTGATAGGTTGTATTTAGTTGTTAGTTAAAATGCCCACATAAAAAACACCAGGAGAAACATTAATTTATTTATCATAAGTCACCACGCGAATGTAAATGGAAACTGTTTGGATTCGACTGTGGATTCTTACCAATAGCATGCATTAGCTGTGGAAAATATGGTTTCAGAAGCCAGTAAAAATAACCAACACAAATCGTGGTTAGCATAACAATGGTAATTAGGACATGTGACACACGTTTTTTGATTGGCTTTTCATCATAAACACTAGTACGGCAAACGACCTCACCATCGATGTAGTTCCGAGCTATAAATTTCAAGGCTTCATCAAGAAGAATAACGGGAAATGAAATTTTCAGCACTGCGAACCATTCCACTACTGTGAGCGGTGTAATCTGGAAGATCGTTGCCAAGATTTCCACGTAGAGGATAACAAAATGTAAT